TATTTTACCACCTTACCCCACCGGTCCACCACCTCAAGGCTGCTTGGTCATTTGTCAAGGCCCAATGGCCTACATAAATTCCTACATGGGTGCATGTAACCATTTCACTCCCACTGAAAACAACTCAAGGGAAGAGGCACTCCATGTAGTGTACTCGTCATTTTTTGGAGTTTAATCCTAGATACCCTTGAGTTTAGCTTGAGATATATCATTAATTGTTACAATTTACTGTTGTTTTCTGTCTTATATGGTTTTAGGGTTACTAGGTGGCACTTCTACTGACTTTTCACGATAAACTGAGTCAACCCAGGGATATTCTAGAGAAGTTATGAGCAAAGGATATATGGTTGTTTGACAGTTCTGTAATTAGAGTTCCCACCACATGCTTAAAAAAGATCCCACACATATATGATGTGGGGTTCGTCCATACAAATCTAACAAACCAGACAACAAACCTTTTACGTAACATCGCACACCCCGTGAGTCCTAGCCAACCACTGGATCAATAACCCCACCGAGTTGTTAGAGCAACTCTAGCAGACCCCGTAAAATCCTGAACCGCAAAACGCGTTTGCAGTTTGACGCAAATCTCGTTTACGGGTTAAAAACGTGCGCAGCCGAATAGAAACCGTATATGAAACTGCATAATTTGAAGAAAAAAAGATTCACGGGAGAAATTACAACCATAGTAGTTCATCACATACTACATATACTACATGATCAAACACTAGTCCATACTACATACTACATTCATTACTAGTACTAGAGGGGGTGGGGATCTCACAGCGGCGAGCTCGTGGCCATGGACGACGCGGTGGAGGAGCTCAATCCTCCTCGTCGGAGCTGCCGAGGTCGATGTACTTCTGCTTCTGCTCCTCGCGGATGCGCCGCCACTCGTAGTCCTTCTCCTTGGCGGCAAGGTTCGCCGCGACCGCCTGCTGGAACACGAGGTCGTCGAGTTCCTCCTGGTGGCACCGGCACTCCGCCTCCTCGCGCAAGCTGCGTTCGGCAATGGCGGCCGCGACCGCGTCGTCATCGGCGACGAAGTCCTCGGGCCTGACGACACCGCGGCGCACAATCTCCTCAGGCTCCTGCTTGATGGCGACGACCTCGATCTCCTCCGGCTCCTCCGACCACTCCCTCTTCATGGGGAGAAGGCTCGCGCCGGAAGAGGAAGAGCTCGCGGCATGGGAAGATCTCGCGCCGGAGGACGAGCCCGTGGCTAAGAAGGGCGTATGCCCGTGCCGACGGTCGTATTCCTCCGTCTCGCGGACGCTGAAGCTCGCCGGCGGCGAGAGGCCCCGGTTCATCCACTTCCTCGCGCCGTCCAAGCGGACACGCCGCTCGCGCTCGGGGTCGCCGTCGCCGCCGGATCTACTCCTGGAGCCGCGGTTGGAGCTCTACAGCGGCCTCACATGGCGACTGGAGGCGGAATGCGGCTTACTGGCGGCGAGAAATGTGAGAAGAGAAGTGGGGAATTGCGGAGAGACGCGACGATGGGGGGATAGGGTTACCCGCAAATGCACCGCCAACCCGTAGATATACTGGTCGGGGGGCGGGGCGGTTTGCGGGCCGCGGTAAAAAAAATTACGGGCCAGGCGAGTATACGGGCTCTGTTCTGGCCAGAAAATTGGGCCGAGCCCGTATACTCGCCAGAATTTTGCGGGTTTGCCATTTTTGCGGGGTCTATTAGAGTTGCTCTTAGCGATTGGAAAGGCGCAACATCGTCGCATCACCAAAGTTGATTCCACCCAAATTGACAAAGTGTTTATCATCGAAAGATTGAGGCACCGACTGAGTTGATTTGTCAGTTTTCTCGAAAAGAAGTGGATCTCAAAAATAAAATAAAAATCAACATTAACAATGACTAATATGTTGTACGGTGTTTTCGAAAAGGAATGTAAGCCCTTAAAATTAAGAACTCAACACCACCAAAATATGGCTCCATTCCCATGCTCCCATTTCACTGCTTAGGTGACCAACTTCTCTATCATCAAGTTTCATGTGATTTTGCTCATCCGAAGCAACATGCAATCAAATCTAAAGAAATAAAATAAAATAAAATAAAAGCAAGCTAAAGGAGAAGAAAAAGGTTACATCGCATTAGCAAAAGCAAGTTGCTTTAGAATGCATAATCAAAGCCCGGTGATGATTCTTCAAAAGGCATACATGATGGTGGTAGTAGTGGTGGGCCATCGGATGATCCAGCTCTTGCGTCACCATGACGCTGTGCAGTATATGTGCATGGTACAGTACAAATTAGTCGCGATTTTTTTATTAAGAACTAGTACAAAATTAACCAAATGACATACTGCATCCGTACGCATGTTTGCATAGCACTTCTCACTGGCTGTTGATCCGTGGAGTGCTGTTGCATAGTACATGCCATGGTACATTTGGTTAAAAACTGTTAGATAGTAGAGATACTCGTGCTACTTGGCCTTGTATTGACCTAACTTTTCATTCCTCCAATTTGTATGTGCATTCTAACCGACCCGCCCCTTTTACTTTGAATTTTACTCAAACAATGAAACCAAATAAGCAACTCAAACGTTTCGTTAAAAACTTCTCCAAGTTGTAATGTTTGATCTCGTGCATCCGATGGGACCACCGTGGATCTCAACCTTCTATTCAGAATTGGACGCCTCATGATCGGATCTGGACGGCGGGCAGGAGGATACCATCACCATGTCCCCCTCCGTTTCGTAGAGTTGGCCCGGGTAGCCTATCTGGTCGAGTGGGCCCGCCTGGGGCTGGGATTCCTCCGCGGGGCCCCACAGGCCGAGTTCCTTCTCCAAATCCTCCAACCACCACTCGCTTCCCTCCTTGGTCGTACATGGCACTGTTGCATCGCCTTGTTGTAGGCGCGCGACATCGTCATCGATGATGCTCCAGATGTCAGCGTCCATGTCGATGTCCGGCAGCTCGAGCAGCTCCTCCACACCGCCGCCGCCCCCGGCGCACGTCGTGAGGGAGGACGACGAGCACGAAGACGTTGGCATTGGCGCCGCCGTCGCGAACGCCTCCGTGGGCTCGTCGGCCAGCATGTCCAGGATGTCCATGACTGGCTCCAGCTCCAGCTCGAGAGGCGATGGTACGTTTATCGTTTCGGGCTCGTTGCTCGTGCCGCACTGCTCCCCGGCGCCGCCGTTGGACCCGTCGCTGGTCGTCATCGATGAGGACGCCGAAGACAACGAAGGGGCGGGCGTGTCAGGGTCTCCGTCGGCCGCCTCGCCCTTGCTCTCGCCAACGCCTGGCTTCTGCTCCGACGCCTTCTTCTTCAGGTGCGTGTTCCAGACGTTCTTGATCTCGTTGTCCGTCCTCCCGGGCAGGCACGCCGCGATCTTGGACCATCTGAACAAATAACAAAAATCCATCAGAACACCAGCGACCACTCCTGGACCAATTAAAGCACGCCCAACAATTTCCAGCACTGATTGCCGAACCGAATGCAGGCAAATCAAGCTTACTTGTTGCCGAGCAAGGCGTGCAGCTTGATGACGGTGGCCTCCTCCTCGGCGGTGAAGTTGCCGCGCCTGAGGTCGGGGCGCAGGTAGTTGATCCACCGGAGCCGGCAGCTCTTCCCGCAGCGCAGCAGGCCGGCCTGCCTCGGGAGGGCGCGCCAGTTGGCGTGCCCGTGCTTCTGGATGTAGGCGATGAGGCGCATGTCCTCCTGCGGCGTCCAGGAGCCCCTGTTCAGCCCGACCTTGGCGCAGCACGGTGCCCTGCCTCGCCCCATATCGGCCACCCGACCAGACCACTCTGCTCGCTTGTTCTAGTTCGATTGGCCCGGGTCGAGGAGGTGGTGGCACGGTGCAGAGCATGGATCGGGGCCGGGCGCGGCCGGTATATATGTGCGTCGCGCACGCTCGCACTGACGCAACTACTACTCCTACTTACTGGTGGCAGGGCTCGCGCTGGGGCGACAGGTGACAAGCCCACGAGTTGGGAGGCCCTACGTACCGGCTCTATCCTCCTACCTCGGAGACTATTGCGTTTACCTACCAAACCCCTGTCCCAGGAGAGCAAAATGTCCATCCCTCCCGCCATCTCCTGGGGCCGGCCGCCCATCCGTTCGTGGCCCGGGTTTCCTCCGGGATCCATGATGCGATGCAGGGTCTACTCCTCCCTGCTGCTCTGTTGTTAATCAGGATGTGCACTCAGCACTGACGGGCAGTGCATGCACCGAGCGAGCTTACACGTACACTTGCTTAAAAATCACTAAATCACGATGATGTTCTCTGCAGCCCTTTCTCCCCGGGCCAGAAAAAAGTTTGAGGGCACTTTTTTGGAGTGGTTGGGGACAATTAGAGATGATTGCGCTTTTCCAGGATAAAATGAAATGGATCTTATTTGTTATGAACACATCCTTTTGTTTTTAATCATATCCGTCGATTTATTTAGAACTTAACTTAGCAGTACCTCTTTCTCTTAGTGGGAGAGAATTATATCTCTGTCTCCATTAATTAATCTGTTCAGGACCTAATCAAACAATCTGAACTTTGGGTCCATGTCCATCTAGTTGAACGGGTTAAATTTAGTGCGTGAAATGGGGTTCAACCTATGCTAAGTACAGCTAGCAGCAGCTATCGCCGATCAACTTTGTCGTTGGTTAAATAAGGTTACTGAATTCATACTTTTGGTAATGATTTCCTGGGTCTGCGGCGTGACCTCAGTGCTGTTTTCTCTTTTTTTTTTAGTTGTGCAAGTAGGATCTGTAATGTCACATACGGTTGCTTAGGCTGTCTGATTTGTATGTGTATGCTCATTTGGTTTAGCTGCGAGCTGACTAAGCTCGTGTGAAACCAGGGTCTGCTTTTGGTGAAAGCTTGGAGCAAAAGGGAAAATTTGACTGTTGAACTATTATGGAGCTCTCCTGATCAACATGTGTTACGAAGAAGAGAGATCAACCCGTGAGCACTTTGCTTGAAAACAAATCTATTTCGATACCACTTACCGTGTTTCTTTTTGAGGAATTAGACATTCCATTGGTACTACAGTAGGTTCTAAGCCTCTTCGTTTGTGATTAGATCCTACGTCCTGCCATGAATTTAAGGATTCAAAAGAACCAATTTAAACTAAAACCATGACATTTATTATGGATCAGAGTACAAAGTTAGTGTTATAGTTAAGGGTGAGCTAGTTCCGTGGGATAAAAGGTGCACCGATTGCATCCGTACATGAATTCAACTTATGTAGCCGTCCATCTCAAAGAAAAAACCAATGCCGAATATGCTCACTGGAATATTTTGTGCATTAACTTTTTACATCATTATTGGAATCGCAAGAATATGAGGTTTGTATCACAAATATGCCAAATGCTTTCTGGTCTCTCAAATAAATGAGTGTTGCTGGGCTGGCTAGAGGCGTATGTGGAGGTGCTAGTGAATTTTTTTAATCAGTCAAGCAATGTAGCCTCTTGAAAAGGTTTTATACATTTGTCTGCTGATAGTGAGATTGGCACTTGTTGTTATTAGCAAAAAGAAGATACAAATAATATTTTAACTGTTACACTTGTCATTGTTGTTTCAAAGAAATAGCTACTGCCTACTTGGAAGTGTACATCTATTGATGCAGAGGTCGTGAGACAAATATCTTCCACTACGTACAAAAACCTACAGTGCCACTACGAATATACTCCCTCCATTCCAAAATAGATGACTCAACTTTATATTAACTTTGTACTTAATTAGTATAAAGTTGAGTCATCTATTTTGAAACGAAGGGAGTACTACTCACACACCACACCATTCAAGCAAGTGGGAGAAAACAAACTGCCTACTCATGTTTTTAGTCATTTTAAGCAAGTTGATGAGATATTTTAGAATACCTCAGTGATCATTGACCTTCCCCTTTAGCGTCTAATAATATAGTAGTACATACTTTTGCAGGAGCTCGCGTGCCTAATTCCACAACTCTAGCTAGCTACTGGCCTGCTTGATTGTCATATCATACTGCCAAAAACCTAGGTCACCACCACCCAAGCTCCACATTTCTCCCGATTATTATCTACAAAGGTAAACTCAACACTAAACTGAAGAATTAAGCCGTAGAATCTTATTCTTGTAGTAAATACAACTAGGATGGTAAAAAAAAGAATTTTTTTACGAAATTAAATAATTATAAAGGGATTGTCTATATACTATCAAGTTGTCTAACTTCTTTTATATATCTCACTTAATTTTTCTAAAACTTTGGATCAACATTCAAGTATTCAACCATCCCAATTCCAACATATTCCTTCAATATTGGAATTTTAGATTGAATAGTGTTGAACTTTATGTGTCTAAGATTAAAAAAAACTCCAGGCCAATTAGCAGAATTTGTTTATGTAGATCTTTTATAATAAGAAATCACAGCACACCGGAAGCAATAAAAATATGTTAGAAGTTTGTAACAGAAGAAAACTATTTGCAGCTACTTTTTTCTGGCTCTATTTTTACCAAAGTATCACAACTAATAAAATTTCCTAACAATTCATGAACATATCATCATAATCATACCTGAATAGGCCAAATGCCATCGTTATTATGGTAAAATGTCGGAGCATATCATAGCATATAAATCACTATACCTCAACATATCATATACAATAGGCCATCATAATTCAATTCTACACAAGGAGATAGTTGATAGATACAATAAATGAGTTCAAAGATGATGGTACCAAGAACTTTATCTAAATAGTGAGTCTAGCTCACTTGGTTGGAAGAATGGATGTACTACCCAACACCTAGGTTCAAGTCATTATGGATGTGAATTTAGTTCTATTTATACCATAGGGCTTCCCTTACGATTATTCAAAACGTAAAAACTTTGCCTAATAGTTCATAGTTATTAGATCATCATAACTGTAGCCAAACATAGACAAGCAGATCATAACATGCATACTTTGTAATTGTACATAAACATGTCAGTCGATAGATCTACAAGATATCTCATGATCTAAACATTTGTTACGTGTAGTGCAATGATCCGATACCATGCACAACTAGCTTGGAGGCCAAGACTAAGTACAAATGACTAACAGCTCGGCTCAATATACTTATATACTTATAGGTATTGTGTGCTTGACCATTTCCGCATATTATTCAAATACCATGTGCAAATGACCAAGCAACCTGCAATCCAAATTTTAGTAACTCCTTTATACTGATGCGCTTATTTTTTTTCAACAAAGACTGACGCCACTTGTGAATGACATGCCAACTCATGTATAAACTATTGATGGGTTGGTTGGCGCCTCAAATGTGTGCACATTGATCTAATATCATGTACACCGACACATCCAAACATATACACCCTCCGTCCTAAAATAAGTGTCTCAACTTTGGGACTTTGGGACGGAGGGAGTAGTTTCTTGTTCTCTAGGAAAAAATGGCTAGTTGTAAAATAGCATAATTCAGGTGGGTCTAAACACTTAAAAACTAAAGTACACATTATTTCTTGCACAATTGCACCAGACACCATCATTAGAAAAACTAAACTACTACTCCCTCCGTTTCTAAATATAAGTCTTTGTAGAGATTTCACCATGGACCACATACGGATGTATCTAGATGCATTTTAGAGTATAGATTCACTCATTTTGCTTTGTATGTGGTCCATAATGAAATCTCTTCAAAGACTTATATTTAGAAACGGAGGGAGTAGTACATCTTTAAGAAGAGTTTTCAGATAACTACGGAAAAATGCATGTTGTACAAACCGCAACTCCAAAAGTAAAGAAGAGCTGATTGAGAAGTCTAAAGCCCAGCCGTATTTCTATTGAGGCAGCAGTAGCTACGAAATGTGAGACACATTTTCCCAACCGCAGATTGCAATCTTTGTCCCACTCCCCGTATCCCTCGTGTATACATGGACGACGTTGCGTGCATCTCGGCAGGCGGCCGGTGATGGGGTGCTGATTCGGTGTGGCTTTCAACAACCGGCCGGTCCTTTTCCGGGCCAAAGGCTGCTTCCAAGTAGGGGTGGGCACTTTTGAACCGAAAACCGAAAAACCGAACCGAACCGAACCATATTAACCGATTTATCTATTAATTCGGTGATTCGATTTTTTGTTCGGTGGGAAATTTTAAGGTTGTTTGATGTTTGGTTTTTGTTCGGTTTCCAGTGTCCAAAAACCGAGTACACCGAAAAAACCGATATGTACGATACCCCATGCAATACCTTGTTTTTGAAAGTGCAGCGGGGGCGCGTCCTCTGGCAAATACTTGTTGGTTGTGGCAGACGTCAGGCCAGCCGCTAGATGAGTTTCTAATCTCACAATCTAACTAGTACTCGTAGGAGTATGTATGCATGCCCGGCGCTTGGTTATGGAAGTAACTAGCAATTGGTGTATCAATTAGTGCATGAGTTGCTTAGTTTACACGCATCACATATATTCTTCCGTACATAACACATGTTAAGGTTGCTAGCTCTTGTGATATATACTGATGATTGCACGTACTTTGGTTTTTCGGTTAACCGAATAAACCGAACCGATATATTATGGTTAATATGGTTCGGTTTCTAAATATTGTGTGATTAATTCGGTTTCCATTTCTTCAAAATCGAAATTATAAAACACCGAATAAACCGAACCGTATTAACCATATAAACCGAATGCCCAGCCCTACTTCCAAGTGTGGCACAAGGTCTCAAGTCATTGAGTTAGAGTGTGTGAGTGAGTGGTGACCAGGACCTCGCCGGTTTTACTACTGCCTCCTTCGCACCTAACTCTTGACGTGTCTTGGGTGG